GCAGGGGCTCCCCTTTCCAGGCCCCAGTTCCCCCATCCAGTGCGGGATGACAGTAATTCTCTGTTCACAATGTTTAAGCAAACCAGCGGTGACAAAGCGCTGAAAGGTGGCTCCCAGACTGAGCTCCAGGAGTCCTTCGCTAGGAGCCAAAAGAATCCACCGCTGTAGGGCCTCCGAGACTTGAATTCTCCCGGTAGGCCACAGAAAATGTTTTACTTTAATCAACCACTGCTGCTTCAAGAAAGGCATGTCATCTCAGACCATGAATGGAACAGGCTGGAATTTTCCCCAGCGTTTTGTCTTTTTCCCACATTCATGTTTTGCCCTGAAACAATTTAAAAGACAACACAATCGGTTGGTGATATGCCCCACTCCATCCTCTTGACTCTGTGGAAGAGAGGAGACAGATACAGGATCCCCCACGTCACAGATGGGGACTGAGGTTGGGGATGTCCCAAAGCTGCTGGGTGGGTTTTGAGAGATCTGGAGTGGGAGCCCTCACAACGCCTGACGGTCCTGGACAAACGTCTGCGGTAGTGGACAGAGCTGAGTGAGAGGGGAGTGGGGGATGACTTTGTGGCTGTGTCTTGCTCTGATGCTCTCTGGCGTCATTCAGCCCGCTGGCCCAGAGACAGATTATACCAGAGTAATCCAGAGGTCACTGTGATGCCACCGCCTGTAACCAGAGTCTCCCATCAGATTTGCAAGTGTGGGGCCCGGAGTTTCTGTTGTTGCTGGGTGAGGAGAGTGTCCCAGGCCATGGAATTAAGTACAGGCAGGCTCTAGGAAAGGACTCAGGAAAGGATGGGAGGTGGGGTGGGCAAGGAGTAAGAGCCAGAAGACCTGAGTTTCCCTCTCAGCCCAGTGCTTTCCTCTCTGCAAGACTTTAAGCAAGTTCCTTCCACAATTTGAGCCCATCTCCTTCCAGCTCTAATTTCCAAGGTTCCCTTAAGTAGAGAGCTGGTTACTTTTTTTTACACCTGCACGGAGGGAAATCTGGATCAAGGAATGTGGAGGAATTTTCCGTGAGTCTTTGTAACTCTCTCCCCCCCGCCATTTTTATTTACAAACTCTCCTAGGGCACTTCAAAACCCTGAAAAGCAGTCGTTGCGAAAGAGCGACAACCTTCTACAAATCCCCAGTCCCCCACCCACCTTGCACATAAAATGGCCTGCCATGGAGCAGGTTTCTCCAAGGTGTGCTGAGGATACCTGCATTGCTGAAGAGCAGCCGGGAGTGGCCTGCAATCACCTGGCCTGCCCACATCAACACCAACCACCCCTACTGGATTGGGAGAATGATTTCCAAGAGGCTGGAACCCACCCTCTCTAGCTCTGAAATGATTCTCAGCAAATTCTGTCGCCCCACAAATATTAAAAGAGGACGATGCCAGAGGTGAGGATTTGCCCTTGACCACCCCACCTCCTTGTCAAGAAACTGAGAAAGCAGCAAAGGGAAAAATAGAGGAAATGCTCTGGCACTGAAGGGATTTTTATGCATGGTTTTGATCCAAACGGGTAAACTGGTGACCTGTGCACTCATCAAATCATTTAATCTAAATTTAACACCATGGATTCATAAAATCTTTGAAACACATTATTTAAATAAAACATGAAATGGAATTTTAGGGGCTCTTTGTTCATGAAAATCTTAGAATCATGATCTTGGAAATTCTAATCTAATCTCATGATCTTGGTCTGAGGCACAGGTGTAGCTCTGGTAATAACAGTTTGAGAAAGAAGAATCAGAATTCTGGATCAAGATCACAGACAGGAGATACTGAGAATCAGAAAATCCTGAGACATGGAAGCTTTTAACCATAGCTGGAGCTTAAAAATAGAGAATCATAAAGTCATGGGACCAATCATTAAAGCATAGTCATGAATATTAGAAGAATTATTAGAGTCAGATTCTTCAAGCTACAGAATAGTGGACCCGGCACTAACATTTTGGAATTAAGGAAGAGAGTTGTAGATTTATAGGATGCAAATCTTCCAGTCAGACATTTCTATACAGGAATTCAAGTTAAATAATACATACATACCTTAGAGTTTAAAAAAATCTAAAACTACAGAAGTGGCAGCTCCCAGGAGTGGCATCATATTTTTTGGCACAAAATCTTAGTGTACCAGTATGCCAGTTTTGTTTGTTTGTAGAGATGGAGTCTCATTATCTTGCCTGCCCCCCTCCCCCGGGAGTGCAGTGGCTAGTCACAGGCAGGACCGTAGCACACACTACAGCGGTGTCGAATTCCTGAGCTCAAGCATCCTACTGCCTCAGCCTCCCAATTATCTGGGACGACAGGCACATGCCACAGCAACGGCATAGTCCCAGTATCTTACTATAATTAATGGGTTTTTAGACTTTGACCAGAAGCTTTAAGTCACAGGCTTATAATCATATAGTCAAAGAACTTAGCCTCTGGGTCATGAAATCTTAGAATTACAGAATCACATTCTTAGATTTATGGAATCGCATTAGGATAATGATCCAGAATTTAAAATCCAGAAATCTGGATCACGGAATCTTGAAAATACAAGAGAACCAAAAAACCCCGTATATCAAAAGTATAATCCAGTTAAAATTTTAAAGTTTTAAACCTTTTTCCCCCTTTGGAAAAACGAAACGGGAAGAAACCTGTATTTTCGCTTCATTACTTTGGAACAAGGAAGCCGAGACTTTTGTTTAACAAGTGTAAAACCCCCCTCTCCATCCCTTCGAGCACCCCTCTGCTGGGGAAAGTTGTCAAGCACACGGTAAGAACGTCTCCACAGACCTGAGTCGATGGAGCGGAGATCTGGGCTCTGCCTCGTTCTTCCGAAGGCAGCTCAACGCGTAACGGCCAAGCCTGCCCTCAGCTCACCGCAGGAAGAACGCGACTAAAACCCCTGAAAGGCACGCCACTCGCTTATGGCCGGAACCCTCTGCTCGTGTGGCACCCTCCGCCCAACCCTGCACCCTCATTCCCCCTCCCCACAAAGCTGAGTCCTGGCTGGAGCCTCTGGAGCCGGTGCCAAGGCTCGGAATCCTAAGAATAGAAGGGGCCTCGGAAATCAGCACATGCCCTCGAGCCCGACTTCTCAGAGTAGGAAACTGAGGCCCTGGGGAGGGGGAAGAGACAGGCCCAAGGTCTCCGAGTGGATGGCCACGGGGCTGCGCCGCAAGGAGTTAGAGGCGCTGCACCCGGAGGAGGGCTTAGACGGAGTCCTGCCTCTGGGACAGCAGGAAACACTCAAAAATCAGACACGAAGCAAACGGGTCCCACCTGCCCACCCCTTTCCCAGGAGACGCGCCACCTGGGGCAGCTCTCTTCTTCCCCCATCTCCCTCCCACATCTTCCCCCACATCCCCCCTAACCCTCACACCCCGCTGCGGAAAGGGGCTGCCTGGCTGCCCCTGGGGGTCTTGAGAGCTACCGGGAGCCCTCAGCAAGCGGTAGGAGCCTAGCCTGCACCGTCTTTAACCTATGCGCACTCTCCGCCATATAGAGAGGGGTCCCAGCCACTCAAAGACAGATGATTGGGAGTGAGGGGACGCCCTTTCCCTAAATACTGGCAACAGAAGGACTCCTGAGATCCAAACCCTCGGGACGAAGGTCGAAGAACCTAGGACTCAAAAAAGGGAAAAGTGGCTAACTCTGGCACACGGGCGTGTGGGGGAAGCGCAGTCCTAAAAGAGACGCAGGTTTAACGCTCCGCTAAGCCGAGAAGTCGCGGTGGGGCCATGGCAAGTCACCTTCCCTTTCAGCCCTAGGAAACCTGGTCCGAAAGATGGGGGTACTGGAGAGGAAGGAGCGTGGGTAGGGCAGCTGACTGGGGTTTGGAAATCATACTGAAAGATCTTGGGAACCAGTCACTCAGATATTCTCTCTTCCCGTCCTCCTCCACCCCACGATGACCAAGCGCCCCCTCCGCCAATTCTCACCCTCTCAGGACAGAAAAGCGAGGCGAGCCCTTCCTTTCACCTGCGAGTCCCAACCCTCAGCAGAGGCCAGAAAAGTCTGGAAGCGCAGAGTTTGGGCGCTGAGGTCTCCCTAGCGAGCAGGTCCCCGGACTCTCTGAGCCTCAGTCTCCCCGTCGGCGCGCAGAGGGGTCTGGCCCCCGGAGGATCTCCAAGCGCCCGCCCCGCTCTGACGTTGTGGGGCTCCTGCCGCATCGCCACAGTTGCTCCCACCTGGGGAGGTGTGCCCGGACTCTGGGGGCGGGCATTAGGGGGGGCGGGCAGGGAACGGGCGCCGCCCCACGCTTCCTGGCGCCTTTAAGGAGGAGAAGCCCACGGAGGGAGGAGCCGGTCCGGGTGTGTGCACGGGAGCGCCTCACCACCGGTCCCCGAGGCTGGAGTCCAACGCAGCGGAGAGGAGCAGTTTCCCAACGCCCCGCCTGGGCCCGCGTCCCGAGCTCGCAGCTCGAGCCTCGCCTCCCTGACCTTGGCGCAGCCCGCCGCATTGGCTGTAGGGGCGCGGCATGGGCGGCCCCCGCCTGATCGCCCCGCGCCTGCACTAACTGCCCTCGCTCAGGCCTTCGGGCCGGCAGCCTCTTCTGCGCACACGATCTCGGAGGTTATCCTCGAACCAGCGGGGACCCCAGACCTGCTGCAGCCGCCCCAACCCCGGGACCACTTCCGGACCCCTTGACCGCCTGGCACCGCCACGTACGGGACCATTCAGTCGGTGACCGGAGCCTAGTCCTCCACGGCCGCTGCCGCCGCCTGGCCTCGAGCTACACAACACGAGCGGAGCCGTCGGTGGGCGGGACACTCCTGTGCCTCCGTCAGCACTGCGCTAGCCCGGGACCGTGGGCGCCGAGCCTCCACAGCGCCCCAGCCTGGGAAGCTGTGCTCTCCGTGCCAGCCCGCGAGGACCCCTGACCTCTTCGCGGAGGAGGCTAGCGTCCGACCCGAGGACCCCACGTCCGGGCCAGCAGCTCCCAGACCCGCCCCACTCCGACCCCCGACAGCAGCGGGTAGCGCTGACTCCGGGGTAGGGTCGGGACGCCTGAGCCATGACTGCGGAGAGCGGGCCGCCGCCGCCCCCGCCGCAGCCCGAGATGCTGGCGGCCGTGAAGGAGGAGAGCGGCGAGGCCGCGGCGACTGGGACCGGGGTCCCGGCGGAGAGCTCGGGCCGCGGCTCCGGCGGGCGACGCCGCAAGCGCCCCCTGCAGCGCGGGAAGCCGCCCTACAGCTACATCGCGCTCATCGCCATGGCCATCGCGCACGCGCCCGAGCGCCGCCTCACGCTGGGCGGCATCTACAAGTTCATCACCGAGCGCTTCCCCTTCTACCGCGACAACCCCAAAAAGTGGCAGAACAGCATCCGCCACAACCTCACGCTCAACGACTGCTTCCTCAAGATCCCGCGCGAGGCCGGCCGCCCGGGCAAGGGCAACTACTGGGCGCTCGACCCCAACGCTGAGGACATGTTCGAGAGCGGCAGCTTCCTGCGCCGCCGCAAGCGCTTTAAGCGCTCGGACCTCTCCACGTACCCGGCCTACATGCACGACGCGGCGGCCGCCGCAGCCGCAGCCGCCGCCGCCGCCGCTGCCGCCATCTTCCCGGGCGCCGTCTCCGCCGCCCGACCGCCCTACCCGGGCGCCGTCTACGCGGGCTACGCGCCGCCGTCGCTCGCCGCGCCGCCACCGGTCTACTACCCTGCCGCGTCGCCGGGCCCCTGCCGCGTCTTCGGCCTGGTTCCTGAGCGGCCGCTCAGCCCGGAGCTGGGCCCCGCGCCGTCGGGGCCAGGCGGCTCCTGCGCCTTTGCCTCCGTCGGCGCCCCAGCCACTACCACCGGCTACCAGCCCGCCGGCTGTACGGGGGCCCGGCCAGCCAATCCCTCGGCCTATGCGGCCGCCTACGCGAGCACCGACAGCGCATACCCTCAGGGGGCCGGCAGCGCGCTCTTTGCAGCTGCTGGCCGCCTGACCGGACCCGCTTCGCCCTCCACGGGTGGCAGCAGTGGCAGCGTTGAGACCGCTGTAGACTTCTACGGGCGCACATCGCCCGGCCAGTTCGGAGCGCTGGGGCCCTGCTACAATCCTGGCGGGCAGCTAGGAGGGGGCAGTGGAGGCACCTACCATGCTCGCCATGCCGCCGCCTATCCTGGCGGGATGGATCGGTTCGTGTCAGCCATGTGAGCCGAGCGCAGGGACGAAAACTCATAGATACCTCCGCTGTCAGTGCGAACTAAGTTTTCCTGCAACCGGGGAACAGGACTGGAGAGAGGACCCAATTGGGACCCAGGTGGAAGGGACCGAGAGGGCCGTAGAGGCTCAGTCTCCCTGCACACCGCATACACACCGGTTTACTTTGTAAATGGGAGGAGGTGGGGTGAGGCAGCCAGAGCCCTTGGACTGGCACTAGGGACCCTCGATGGGGCGAAGCCTCAAAGAACATGCCTTTCTGGCATTCCACCATGGAGAGTCCTTGGCGATAAAGGGAGGGCGGGCGTAGTGTCTACACCAGAGTCCAGGATCCGAATTGTGTGGAATCACAAAACTTCAATGTTCCATGTGCTGCTGAAAGCTTGGGCCTTTTTACACGGTTAGGCTTCTTGTGCCTTTGACTATGTTACTACAATAAAAGGCTCAGCGCCTTTCTTCTTAAAGTAAGGAGGCCATGTTTGCAAAAGAAGTCTTTTTAAAAAAATGGGAGAACTCTCTCTGCTCTGATTTACCTAGGCTGGTTTTCCCTGCCTCTGAAGACTGCAGACCTAGCTCTGAGTCTGAACTGTGCCTCAGCTCCCCAGTGTGACCCAGTCCCTTCAGCCGAACCTACAGTCTGCCCATCGGTTACAAATGAGGGCTGCACGATTCTACAGCACCCTCTCCCCCCACACCCCCGTTGTCTTTAAGGGCCCCATCATCTTGGAAGCTGCCCTTCAAATTTGGCAGCATTGGTGGGCCGGCCTCCCAGGGCCTCTGAGTAGCCATCCAAAACCTAACTGCTGTCCTTGGGAGTGGGAACAGAGCTCACACCAAGCATCTAACCTAAAGTCCCACAATTAATTCCAGGCAACAATTATAGTTTATTGAACTTTTGAGCAGGATGTGCTGGTCATTCCATAGCTATTACTACCCAGTCATAAATCTGATTTTCTGGTTACGCAAATAGAAATACATTGGCCTACTGTCCACTGTTTCTTTTCATCAAGCAGCGCTGGACCCAATGGGTGAACTGAGTTCAGGGAGACGAGGGGACTCGGGGAGATGAGCCCATAGCTGACAGTTTTCAGTAGCCAGGGTTGGCTCTTCTGTCCCTAGCACCCGTTGCTGCACCTCAGCACCCTGCCCATGCAAAAATGAAAGAGAAATGTGAGATTGGGGTGATCAATGAAGTAAGCTTTAGAAACTGGATTTTTAACTTCATTTTGTGTCTTGTTTTAAGCAGCCTTAAAAAAAAATCTGAAAATCCAACAACTCTACCACTTTTCTCTTGAGAAATCTTGTAAATTTCGGTTCTGGGGCAAAAATTCCAGTGTTAAATATTTCAGAGGCTCCTTTCACAGTTCTTAGATAAACCTGAGTGTTCACATGAACTGTTTTAATAAAAAATCTTTGAGTAAGTGAGTTCTGGCAAGAGAAACTCAGCCTCTTTCAGCATAGTTAACTTGGTAGGGAAGGGTGATGTGAAAAAGAAGGTTGTATGAAAACCATTGGTAATTTTTATTTTTTATTTTGGGGACTGCACTATCCTGTTGACAAAGACATATGAACTTGGTTGAGTCCAGACAGGAATTTGTCTAAATCAGTGCTCTCCAATAGAAATATAATGCGAGCAAGCCACATATGAATTTTAAAATTTTCTAGTAGCTACATTAATAAAAAGAAACAGGTGAGATTAATTTTAATAATATATTTATCCTAATATATCCAAAATATTATCATTGCAACATATAATCAAGGTAAAATTTGTTGAGACGTTTTACTTTTTTCATACGAAGGCTTCAAAATTTGGAGTGTATTTTCCACTTACAGCTTATCTACATTTGGACTAGCTACACGCCAATTGCTCAATAGCAACGGTATTGGACAGTGCAGATCTAGTCGCTGCTCCTTCCTGGCTTTGGTTGTACTAAATGACCACCTGGAGGTGAGAGGTGGCTGGAGCACCAACCCCGCCACTGATGGGTCCACATTCCAGACCAGCCCTGTGACCTTGGAAAAGCGGAGGTGTTGGGCCTCCTTCCTCTCCCTATGAACCTTTGCAGTTACGGAATTCAAGGGTCTCCATGTGCAGCCAGACAAGCTGGCTCTCCCAGGCCAGAGGTAAGGATGCCTCGCCTAGTTGGCAGGAGTGGGAAATTGAGGGTCCTCCGCCCAGTTTTGTCCTGGCTGGGGAGAGCCCCGCCGCCAGATTGGAGCTGGAGAAGTGTGGTCTTTGCACCTAATTAGTGCGGGAGTTGAGCCTTTCTCTGTTTCCTAATTACCAAATCGAGTGCTTTGACAGCGCCATTAACCTTAAGCCAGTCCCTTCCCCTCCAGTGTTCTCATCTGTGAAAGGGACACTTGTGACTGCTACCTCAGAGGGTCCTCCTAAAGTTAAACGAGACAAGAGAGGTGGAAAAACACCCTGTAAACTGGAAAGCGCTGGACATAAGAGGGCGGAAAGGCTTCAAAATAAATACGCGCGGAATTGTCACGAAGCTTCCTGGAGCGTCGCATTAAAGCCCCAGGAATGAGAAAGATACGATGGGAAAGAGCGGGTGTCTCTGTCCCCCACCTTCCTTGTCAGCTTGGGCGACAGGTAAGATTATGCCAGAGTCTAGGGTCAGCGCCGGAAAAGAGAGGACGCTGCGGGGAGGGAACAGGTGTGTACTGCGGCAGCCCAGAGGAACGGAGGGACCCGCGAGGGTTGGGATCAAGGCGGTGAAGACAGCGACAGCCGTTCTCCGACTCCCGCCACCCAGAGCTCGCGCGGTGCCGGGCCGGCCGGAATGTCCGCAGGGAGCGAGCGCCGTCCAGGCGGTACGCGATGCCCCCGCTTCACCCACCGCGGGGACGCGGGCGACCCTCCAGCACGCATGACTCCAGGACCTTGAGAACGTTCCACTGCCAAGTCTTGGAATACCAGCTCTAGGAATTTCCAAACCATGGGGACGGGACGGGACCTTCCAGTCGCCCATCTGTGGGGCTCAGAGACTGAAGATGCGCTTTTTATTTTATTTTTCTTCGTCCTATTACGAACACAGAAAAATCGTTTGCCCCTCTCGGGGCCCTGCACACCCAGCGTCGTGTGCAGGCGCCCCGGGCTGTGGGTAATTAGATGCGTTCTTCCCTAATTGCCCAAGGCTCGTTAGAATTCGCCCCAGAGCTGTAACATTTATTTTCTTTCAAATTAACTTAGCTTGCAATTAAGCTTAGGAAACCAGCAACAAAAGCAGACTTGGCCCGAGGTCGTTTACTACGAAAATGGAGTAAGGAACCTTTTTCTCTGATTTAAAGGGAAAGATTCCTGCGGCCAGCGATTTGGAAGAAGTGTCTGGACGGCAGAGGCAAAGTGGGAGCGGGAAGCTGCCCACCGGGGTAGTAGGCCTGGCAGCAGCCGTGGCCTTCCTCATCTGGGTGAGTCATGCTCCCATAAGAATAAGGATAACATCGTTGAAGAGACTTCTCGACGGTTTGAGCTGGACTCCGCACGGATGAAATGGAGCGCTGTATGTAGCTACAGTTTACCGAGCACATTCGTAAACATGATCTCATTTACTAAGAACTTTGTGTGAGAATTTTCTTTTACTAAAATTATTTTCTTATTACAAAACCAGTGTGTGTTCATTGTTTAAAAAAAAAAACAGGTAAGAGAAAGAAAGGGAGGGAGGGAAATAGCAAAAGAAAGGAAAAAAGTCAAAGGAACCCATAGTTTGCCCAGAGAAAGCACAGTTAACACTTTCAGTGCATATCTTTTCTGGATTTTGTTTTTATTTTTTTCCCCTGTACAGGAGGCCTGAGTCTTTGTCACTGAATTGCTATGAGATCTTGAACAAGTTCCTTCCAGCCCTGGGTAGGCCTCAGTTTCCCCACCTGTAAAACTGGGTACAGGTCCCTTTGACCCTCACACTCTCTAACTCCTCTTGCTTTGCTCATCTGAATCCAGGATGCGCTTCTGCAAGGGCCAGGAGGGAGGCTTTCATGGGGAGGTAAGCCCTCCCTGCTGTTTTACACGGGAGACTGAGGTCCCGTTGCATGGGCTTCCCCTGGGAACTTGCTGGAAATGCAGACTCTCAGGCCACACTCCAGACCTACCAGACCAGGACCTGCCTTTCAACAGGACCCCTGGATGACCATATGCCCTGGACAAAGAGACAGAACTTCGAAAAAAAATGTTTTATGTTGTTACAATCAGAAACACCAGAATAACTTCCAGAAGCCTCTTGTTTCTGGCCAAGAACCCCAACCAGTGCTCCAAAGCTACCCTGTGACTCTGGCTGCAGAAAGAAGAGAGGGATGGAGAGCAAGGGGACAGGGCTGGGGTGGAATGTTCACCTCCTCCCTTGGAGGTACTTTCTGAGTCTTGGAATCCTAGCCCTAAGAATGCATCTCACCTCATGTTTCCAGCTGTATGGATGACTGTGACAGCGACATTCAACAAGAGTGTATCTGAAAGCATCTTGAAAGCTGGGGCTGACAGTTAGAGCCAGAGCAGGAACCCAGCTCCTGACTCCCAGCTGAGGCACTTTGAGGACCTTGGGTTACATCTCTGTACCCTCTCTAAGCAGCAGTCATTTGCCCAAGTATGGAATAAACTTGGCCTCTGAGCTCTCAGCTCCAGCCCAGAATTTGGGGTAGTTGGGGGTTTAGGAGAAAAATAAAGCTTTCTGCTCAGGACACAATGGCCAGCAGGAAGGGGCCCCTGTCTCTGAGTTAATCTGGGCTGAGGGATCCTCTGGTAAATAGCCTAAGGTCCTGGGTGCCCTAAGGAGCCCTCCCCTGCCGCAAACACACATACCTTTCTGGAGAACTTGGGTTTCTGTGCTCATCCCGTTCCTGAGAAGTGCTGACTCCTGGGTGGGGGTTGACCTGACAAGAGAACTGAAAAAATATGTCCCTGATGAAAAGCAATTCAGACAGGGGCATGTACCATGAAGGGTAGGGCAGGGGCCCAGACTGGGGAATCATGTTCCCAGAATTACATAGCAACCCGCTGGGAAAACCAGGACGCTCATCTCAGTGCTCTTATGAGTTTTCAGTAGGAATACACAGCAATACTGTGAGTGTGTGTAGAGTTTCTATAGAGCCACAGA